GCTGGTATCAAGAATGTTGATTGTGGAGCCAAGCAAACTAAAGCTGTTAACAATCTCAGTCTCTTCACTGTCTATCATGATGCTGCCAGTTGGCCCAGTGTTGAGTATCTTTGTTTTCTTGATGTTGAGTTTCAATTAATATTTAAGGCTGCAAGCTCTTCAGGTCCTCCTCAGTTTAAGCAAGCAAGGTTGTGTCATCTGCATAACATGGGTTGTTGATGAGCCTTCCTCCAACCCTGATGTCACATTTCTCCTCATAGAGCACAGCCTTCCAGATGACCTGTTCTGCATGTAGATTGCAAAGGTATGGAGAATATGACAAATCCCTGACCTATACCCTTCTCTGTTTTGAATCATGCAGTGTTTCCTTGCTCTCTTCTGACGACTGCCTCCTGGTCCAAGTATTGGTTTTGCATAAGTACATTCAAATGTTCTGGGATTCCCATTCTTAGAGTCAGCCACAGTTTGATGTGATCATATCTCTGTGGTTGGCTGTGGTAGATTATTGCTTTCTTATTTTTCCTTCTTTGTGTTTTTATTGTTAACTGTAGAGGAATCTCACTGACTTTTTTATTGATCTTCTTTCCTGCCTTTCTACTAAATTGATCTATAGCTCTAACAGTATTTTGTTGAGTCCTTGGGGTTTCTGTATATACTCTTATAGCATCTGCATATAATGACAGTTTCCTCATCTCTTTGACCACCTTGATGCCTCTTATGTCCTTCTCTTGCTCTTTTGGGAGAGCCTGGAAAGCATTATCCTGAGTGAACTCAGTCTCATAAGGATAAATACTGCATAAGACTACTGTTGTAAAAATAGAAGGATAAGTACTAAAATGTATATGGGGATCCAAGGTGAGAAGGGCTGAAGAAGAGGGGTGCTGGTGGGTAGGGGGGAAAACACAGGACTGCACAATTTGGTGGGTGGAGGTGGAGGAGGTAAAGGAAATGGGAACGATCCAGCGGGAATCTGGAAAGACAGGGTATGGTGGACATAATTCAGTGGTGATTAATTTTATAAAACATAATGAATGGAATTAAACATACCACTAGGACAAACAGGTCTGTCTTGGAGAGGGTGAAACCAAGTTTCTCCTTGGGGGCAAGGATTTTGATGCTCTGCCTCACATACTTTGGGCACCGGACACGGAGGGACCCATCCTTGGAGAAGGACATCATGCTTTGGAAGGGTGGAGGCACAGAGCAGGAGAGGAAGAATCCAGATGAGATGGATTGACACAGTAACTGGAGTAATGGGGGTAGGTGTGTCAGAGTCAGTGAGACTGGTTCAGAACAGGGCAGAGTTAATAGTTACTGTACATAGATAGGGTGCCTGTGAGTCTCAGGCGACTCAATGCCACAGAAAAACAACGAATGAGAATGATTGTATGAAACATAATGTGAATGAAGAATAGTATGAAATAGTGTATGCAAACTTTGTATGCAAACCAATATAAAAGGATTTTTTAATAAAAGGCCATCTTTGAGACAAGGTAAAAAGGCATAATTATGTTAATGGAAGAAGTAAAACAGTTAAAGTATCTAAACTTGATAATGTTGTCAACCTTCTAGAATTGCTGTTCTAGACTAAAAGGATAAGCTTAATAGTCTGAAAAGTAGTCCTTCTTCCTTGTCCTTTTGTGCTAATAGTACACTTTTTTCTTTTAAAATATTACTAAAGGAATGTTCAACTTTTGTAGTGGACCTGTATGGTTTCACATGACAAGAGGACCCTTAGGCCATTGTCTTTCATAGGGCACTTGGTTATTGTTCTTTCAGTTAGAATGGTAGAGATGCTAAGGTCAGGGTCAGGATGACACCAGATTTCTCTGCCCAATTCTTTTAAGTTGGTGGAAGAAGAGCATCTGGTGGATTTGAACTGCTCACCTCTGGTATTGCAGCGCAGCTTCTTGCCACCAGAGCTCCCTTGTATGCTTGTTTTGAAGTTATCATTTCTCCTCTGACCCTTAACCCACTGCCATGGATTGCCAGGATATTTTTAGAAGACCAGGCTGATTCAGAATTAGACAGGATTTTTCCCCACTGTGCTGGGGTTGATATGTTTTGGAAGCAACTTGACAGCACCAAACAATAACAGTAAGATTAGAATAAATACAAGCTTTATAGTTTTCTTTTAAAAAGGGCCATATTAAGTAGTTGGTGGGCTTTGTGGGCTACTGCTTCCCATCCTGCCAGAAATTGAGGAATAGAAGCCTGTTCTTTGAATTGACTGCCTGTGGAAATGTGACCAGTTAGTGTGAAATGTATGCTTAGCAAATGTTAGGTATTTAAAAAAAAATAAAAAGGCCATATTATTTCCCTCTTAAAATTTCTTCTTTTAAATGGAAATTTCATTTAATACAGATGATAATACAATTCTATAGTAATATTTTTAAAATAACATTTTAAATTTCCTGTCCAGAATTTCTTTTTTTTTTTTTGTCCAGAATTTCTTAACCGTTTTTGGTTTTGTATTAAGGCATTTGAATGGTTATGATTTCAGCTTCACAGTCCAATTTGACTTAAAGAAGATGAACAAGAACTTGAGAATCGGAGATGGGGGGGGAAACGGTTGAGATTGTGTAGATGTTTTACAGGGAAATTCCATTTTCTTTCAATAAAGGAAGAACAGTAATCATTGATAGTATTTACGCAGTCCTAAAATAATAATAAATTAGTTGTATGCTCATTTTTGTAAGACTTTTAAAACAAACAAAAACCCAGCTTTTGTACAATTGGATCTGTTCTATTTTGGGCGGCAGGGCATCCAGTCAGGGGGTATTTGAAAGCCAGTGTCCTGAACTGGACTTTACTTTTTAAAAGAATATTTTTATTACGCTTTTATCTTTGAGAAGCAGAGATAAACATGTTTACGAAAGCCAAGATCCCACCTCTAAAGAAACTCCATCGCAGCTGTGCGGACTGGTCCTGGGAAGAAATAGTTCCGTTCCTTTTGCCCTCCTTGACCTCAGTTTCTTATTTACAAAATGATTTGGATCTTTCATTGGGACTCTCAATTTTTGAAGCACGTACATGCCATTGAGTGATTTGTTTTGGAAAAGAGAGCATCTGTCCTAGTAACTGGAGCTCTGGTGGCTTAGTGGTGAGGAATTGCACTTCCCAGTGCAAAAAGTACGTAGTTCAAATCCATCACCTGTTCTGTGGGAGAAAAATGTTCCATCTCCTCCGTGCTTCTGAAAACCTGCTGCAGCGTCAGCTATGGGTTGATTCTGACTAGAAGGGTACGCAGTAAAAACTACAGTTTCTTTCCTCCATGAATGTTCAGCTTGCTTCAGTTTTGTTTCTTCAGAATGATATTCTTACATATCTGCCAAGTACAGCTGCTTCCTTTGCCTGAAACATTGTTCCTCTCTCCAGCAGGTGCCTGGGCCCCTCTCTCTCTCCTCTGTGTTAACAGCGATAACAACTGGAAGAGTGTCTGCCAGCCACCCTCTGTTCTGTCACAGCGTTCGTCACCTCCTGGCATCTGTACTTAATGCATACAGACGCATGTGTACATTTTATGTCTTCCTCTGCTAATTGAACTTGTGTATTTAGGCATTGAACTTGTATATTTAGGTACATTCCCACGTGGTGTGGCTGTTGAGTACAACTCCTTACTGGCTCTGTGAGCACCAGCTCTGAATCCTGTCCTGTCCTGTGCCGTCCTTCCGACCCTGATACACTTGAGCCCATTGCTGCAGTCTCTGGATCTTGTTGGGGGTCTTGTCTTCCTCTCGTTAGCTAACCCTCCCTCCTTCCAAGTATGACATCCTTTTCTAAGGAAAACCCTCTCCTAGAACGTGGCCGAAGTATGAGAGACAAAGCTTTGCCTCCTTGCCTCCAAGGAGCGCTCCGGCTGCCCTTATCCTAAGACGTACTTGTTGATTCTTGTGGCAGCCCACGGGATAGTCAGCTCTCTTCTCTACCACCGCAATGCAAAGGAATCCGTTCTGGTATCCTTCTTGTCTAGCTCTCAGATGCGTAGCAAGTGACTGAAAAGATCATTCCCAGTAGTCATGCCTTTCTCTGGCTCATAGTAAATTCTCAGTAAATCTGAGGAATGCACGTCAACTGACCAAAGCTTCCTTGGCTTAAAATTTCACCTTGAATATTTTTTTTCTTTTTTTAAAGTCAATCTGTTACGGGACATGGGTTTCCCTTTGTCTGACAACCCCAGTTGCTTGCTTGCTGCTTGGAGGAAGGCCGAGTTCTCAGGGGCAGGGACGGCTGGGTGATGTAACCTCGGCTGCCTGGCCCGGGAGAGGAGGGTGCAGCAGACAGTCCTAGCGCTTGTCATCCATGACACTCGAGGCTTGATGGTTTGGCAGTGGGTGCATTTTTGGTTTCCATTCTTTTGTAACTTTGACTTGTTCTCTTTCTGCTTAGAATATGTTTGTGGATATGCGAGTTAAAGTTAGAACGGCTTTCTGTTTGCTGTGTGACATGCCGTTCAGTTGGAACTAACTCATACCTGACCCTCCACTGTTTTCAGAGGCAGTAAATCGCACGTGAAGAGATCACCCATTTTTCTCCGGCAGAGCAGCTGGTGGATTTGAACAGTTTACCTTTGGGTTGGAAACACAGTTCTTTACCGCTAATATGACATAGAGACACATAATTCTTTGTTTTTTAAGCATGGCACGAGTGAGTTGCACTGGGTATGATATTGGAGGAGCCAGAATACCTGTTGCTGCCCCTTTCAAAAAACAATTTTCACTTGTCTGTCATCATAGGGAGCTCTGGTGGTCTAGTGGCAAGAAGCTGCGACACAGACCTGAATGTACACAGTTCGAATCTACCACCTGCTCTGTGGTCGAGGGATGGGCAGTGTCCTCCTGTGTGGAGGAGATTAACTGCCTCTGAAAACCTGCTTGGAGGGTCAGCTCTGGGTCAGTTCTGGCTTGGTGGTACACACAACAACAACAACAACAAAAACATCATCTAATAGGGAAGATTCTTAATTAAAAGTAAGCTTATCTTTTCTTTTTCTTCCTTCTAGATTCTTGCTGAAAACTGTTGATCCAACTTTTTGAACACCATGAATAACAACGTGTCTTCAAAACCATCCACAATGAAGCTAAAACAGACTATCAACCCCATCCTTTTATATCTCATACATTTTGTAATATCACTTTATACTATTTTAACATACATTCCATTTTATTTCTTGTCTACATCAAGACAAGAAAAATCGAACCAAGTTAAAGCAAAGCCTGTAAATTCAAAACCGGAGTCAGCTTACAGATCGGTGAACTGTTTGAACGGTTTGGCTTCAGTCTTGTATCCTGGATGCGATACTCTGGACAAGGTGTTTACGCATGCCAAAAACAAATTTAAGAACAAAAGACTTTTGGGAACACGAGAAATTTTAAACGAGGAAGATGAAGTGCAGCCAAATGGGAAAATTTTTAAGAAGGTAGGTTGGTCTTTATTTAATACCCTTTGAATTTCTTCTGAGTAAAAGACCATCTTGGAAACGGTGTTGGGGGCCAGCACAGTCTGTGTCTTCTGAAGTTTGCTGATATTGTAAGAGAAGCAGGAAAGAACGGAGACAAGACCGCTCAGATCTCCTCCCATAAGAGCCCCTTGTGCACCCATGGACTTGCTCCCAGTTTTCACAAAGACATTGGCAGCGTACACTGCTGAACCCGTGGAGTTGAGTGACTGGCCAGTGTGAAGCCATGGTCTCCTGACAGTTTCCAGAAGTATCTGTGTGCTTGACATGCTCCAGATTTTGTGATGTGTACCTGATTTATATCTCTGATTTTAGTGCTTAATGTCTTAGTACTTTGGTAAAGGGTTGCATGTTTTGAAACAGAATTTCCTTCCCCCTCGCACATGTAGAGAAGTATCTGCCATTGTAAATTTTGAACTTAGAAAGAAAGCTCTGGGAGAGAGGCTAACATAAGGGCAAAGAGCCTGGACTCTCGACCCAGACTAGCTTGGCTTTGTCATGTAACTAGCTGTGTGCCCTTGGAGAGGTTAATGAACAGATCTGTTGTATGTCCTTTACCTAAGCGGCAGTATGGAGTTTGACGTTCATCAGGATTAACTGTGAGCCAAGCTGCTTTAAGAACTTTGGCAGTAACTTATTTAGAATTTGCAGCGAAGGAAACTTTGGCCTGGCTCTTAAGCATCGACAGAAAGGGTTTGCAGTTGGAGCCCTCCAACTGCATTGTGGGATAGCAGTGTCTCAGTTTGCTTCTGTTAAGTTTCCAGGCTTAGAAACCCCACAAGGAGGCACTTCTGTTCTTCTTAGAGGCTGGCTGTGAGTTAGAATTAACTTGACTGCAGTGGGATGTCTTTCAGTATAGCAGTGAATTTCTAGTACTTGAGGCACAGCACGTTAGGTTACTAACTCAAGGACATGACAGAACGGTGAAGATGGGACAAAGATCCTTGCCTTCTGGCTCCAGAGCTTCAGAAGGTCACTTGTGGATCAGTTCCGACTCAACAGCGCAACAGAGGGATGTTATGAGGATTAATTGAATGTGTGTGCGTATGTTTAATGTACACATAGAGTGTGTTTATCGCAGTTTATATAGCATGTAGACAAATGCTCTCACTGGCATTTATTGTGAGAATTCAGTGGGGGAAATTGGTGAACACAGAGATCAACACTAGGAAGGATTGCTGTTATTAACGGTGGTCAGGTTAACTACAATTCATGGGGATCCTGTGAACGATAGCTGAGAACCGGGCCAGCGCCGTCATTATGATCTCCACCTTGCTGAGGGTCGTTGTCCAGCCGCTGTGCCAAGTTCGTCTTGAAGGTATTCCGCTCTTCCTCTGCCTGTCTACCTTTCCACTCCACGAGGTCTTTATTCGGGGATTAAAGATAGACACTGTAGGAATGGCATGAAAAAATGCAGTTTCTAAAATTATTTTCATATAAGCCATTCTTGAAGATCTTAAAGGTCAAAGTGGAAAATCCAGTTCGTTTATAAGAATGATATTGTCTGTTGTTGCTTGGTAACTTGGTTAGGTTCTCGGTTCTAGGCCAGGTGGTTTTCTCTCACCTTTCTGCTCCAGCTGTATCCTGATCCCAGCCTTTCAAAACCAAAAACCTGTCATGAAGGGACCGTTGAGCTCTCAGAGGTGCATCCAGTCACCGCAGCCCTAGAACGACAAGCTCAGACCTGCTGGTCCGGAGGGCCAGGGTTTGGTGGGGAGCCTGCTTCATGAGCTTTTCTGCTTACGAACGCACCCCATTTTTCTCTAAACACAGTGGGGATGTAAACCAGGTAATGACCCTGGCTCCAAGAAAAGAAAAATCTTGCTTTGACCCTGGGCCAACCAGTCTCTAACATTTAAATAGAATGATTTTATATTTTGTTTTGCCTGGTACAGTCAAATTTATGTCTGTTGTTCTGACATAATTATTAGTAGTATTCCTTTTAGTCTCAAAAGTGCCTTGATCTGGATAAATTATGTGGGAACCTTTTATCCTATTGTCATTGAAATTCAGTGGGGGAAAGCATGTTAGTGCATATAAAAACTTAAACCATTAAAATAGTACACATCCAGAAGGGAGTAAATATAGAAATGGCATAAAAATGTTCTGTCTGGACTGGATACATGCCTTTCTTGTAAGCAGCTCTTGAAGCTTTGGTAGGTACTTAAATAAATACCTGAGTCACCTAAATAAGCTTTTCCTACTACAATGACTTAATAATTAACTGGAGTTAATAGGGCATTTTAAGAAATTGAAGTCATGAGTAAACTTGTTTAATTTTTCCTCTCAAGCTTCTAGATGATAATTTGCAAACATATTTGGTCAAAATGAAGCTAGTTTTTAACAGCCTTTTTTTTTTTTTTTTAAAGATGCTAGTCCTTAGTTTTCTATTTTGGTCTAGTATATCATTTGAGTTCAAAGCTTGGATTCATTCTCTTTTAGTCCAACCATATAGGTAACAGAAATGCAATGTTAACAAGACTTTTCTTCAGTTTCTCACAACATAAACACACACTTGTGGGACAGCACTGCCAATTGTTATTCAACATATTAATGATGTATAATGAATAATATTATTAGACACTTGAAGCAGTAGACTAGTTTTTTGGTTATGGAAAAAGGAGAAACATTTGTGTAGGGACTATGAAACATCTCAGTATCAATATAATTAGGACAAAATAAAATTCCAGGGCTCCCGTTGTCTGGTGATCTCGTGGTAAGAAGCTGTGCTGCAGTCTCAGAGGCAGGTGGTTCGAGTCCTCCAGCAGAGCAGATGGACAGTCTCCTATTTACTGCCTCTGAAAACCCACTGGAAGGACAACTCCACGCACACAGCAGCCACAGCCGCTGTCTTAGAACCAGTGGAGCTATAGTACTCCTCAGGGGCAGGGAGTCCTTGGAAAATTCTATCTGTAAAAGTAGAGGGTCAGCGAAGGAGGTGGAGTGACACAGTGACGTCAGCAATGGGTGGCCGCACAGCGGAGAGCGTGAGGCTGGCACAGGCTCAGCCAGGGTCCCATCTGCTGCCCCTCCCTGAACGGCGTTTGCTGTGATGGGCCGCGCACACCGACTGGAGGTGTTCGAGCGGAGGTACTTAGTGCGGCCCCTGCCGGTGGTGCCAGCCGACGGCCGACTGTCTTCTGGAATGCATGTCTGTGTCGGAGTGTACTTACTTTAATAGTTTTCCTTCTGAAGAGAATTTTTAATTGGTATGGAAAGCTAATAATGATGCATTTATCTGACTTCTCTGGCTTAGGGGATAGAGTTCTCTAATAAAGATCAGCTACAGAGGAGCATGTGGATTAAGCACTGAACTGCTAACTGAAAGGTTGGAGGTTCAAATCCACCAGCCACACTGCACAAGAATGAAGAGGCCTGTCGGCGTCTGTAAAATCCTGTAGGCCTCTCGTGAGTCGGCATTGACTGCCAGCTCCAGGGTTCAGTTGGATTAACTTCACAATATATCTGGTTCAAACAAGGATTCTCCAACCTTTATTTTAAATAAATGAACTCTGAAGCTCTGTTTTGAGCCACTGTGTGAAACTCAGAGAGAAAAAAGACAGAGGTGATGCCAAAGATGACACAGCCACAGGCCTTTTTAGGGGCGGAAGCCTTTTTAATAGGGAAGCCAAGGGCAGAGAAGCCGACTGCTGTGGCCTGTGACTTGCCTTGCCTTTGCAGGACTGCTGTCCCGTCAATTTAATTTCTTACGGTGTTATAAAACCAGTAAGATTAAATATCCAGAATGTGTTTCACTATCTCCTGCCTCTAACCTTTCCAGCAGTAAAATGACTAGTTTCCAGAACATCTTTAAAATACAGTGTCCCAGAAATAGAACAGAGACAGTGAAACGTAGAAATGAGGACAGGACTGGCTCAGACATTCTGTGAACTAACTACTGAAAATCATTTTAATGGCTTTTCTTGTATTTTTATTCACATTAGAGAGATGAGAATAAAAGGGATTATGTAATCATAGTGCTTAGGACGAGGAGAGTTCACTGTGACAGTTCTAAATGGATCCAAAGAAGATAATGGGATAAAAGGGCCCATCTCTGTCCTTTTGCACTGACTTACCTCCCCCTTTCTCCAATGACTGGCTTTGTTAATTCTTGCCTTATTTGCATGTGTGTGTGTATTTTGTTTTCTGACTTACCAGGACATACATACATCAAAAATTGATCTCGGGGAGCTCTGGTGGCCTAGTGGCAAGAAGCTGCACTGCAATCCCAGAGGCTCGTGGTTTGAATCCACCAGATGCTCTGCCGGGGAAGGAGGAACAATTCTCCTGTACCAGTCACATATGATTTGACGGTGTACACACACACACACACACACACACACACACACACAGAGTTGATCTCTTGGCCAGGATATGTCATTTTGTTGCTAATTATTCCCAACTGTTGTTATTGTTATATGCCATTGGGCGACCCTATGTACAACAGCCCTAAACCCTGCTCTATCCTGTGCCAATCGCACTGCCTCTGACACTCCCATCCCAATTAGCCCAGTCACTGAATCAATCCACCACATAGAGGGCCTTCCCCTCCTGCGCTGACCCTCCACCAACTAGAAATTTGCCAATTATTCCCAACTAGAAATTTGCTAATTATTCCCAACTAGAACTGCTTATTTTCCATTCTTGTTTCTTCCCTTACTCCTACTTGTGAAAGACATTCCCATGCACCAGATTGCTTTAGTTGAAAAAATAGAAAAATAGGTATTGGTCACCTGTGCTTTCTCTGCCTTTTAGTCTTTTGTGCCCATGGACTCCCAGTGGCCTCCTGCAGACTTCATGCGTCTCTGCTTGTCCCTGTTATGGTTCACCTGTTCACCTGTGCCCAGCAGCTGAAATGATCTCTTCTCTTTGCTCAAGAGCTAGACAGTTGTATCATCCCCCCCGCCCCGGCTTAGGAAGGTCCTCATCCTTTCCCACGATGGACTTTGAGCTTTGGAGTA